ACACGCACATGCACACTCGCACACACACACGCACTCACACACACACACTCGCACACACTCACACACATGCACTCATGCACACTCGCACACACACTCACGCACGCTCACACACACGCACACTCAATCACACACACACGCACACACTCACACGCACACACACACACGCACTCACACACACACACACTCACACACACACACACACACACACTAATAAAATACCTATAATGAAAAAATCTTTTGATTATTATTATTTTCCCTCTCACACAGAAATGGTTCAACAACCTACCCGGACTGTGCTATCTATGAAGTGGGTGGGAATATCGGTAAGATATTTTTTCTGTATATATATATTTTAAATGCATCATTATACACAAACGAGACAAAGCAAGATACAAACAATGGTGATTATAGTTAACTAAAACTAAAACCATTTTTAAAAATCCATTACTTGAAATAAAATAAACATTTCTCATTTTAATTTAGTTTAATTTGATGTACTACAGTAACTAAAACTCAAATACAAATGATTAAGAACTATATAGACATATTAAAAAAAACAATAACTAATTAAAATTACCGAAACACAAAACAAAATGACTAAAACGTTAACTAAAATGGAAAATATAAAAATAAAAACTAATTCAAAATATTTTTAAAAAGCTAAAATAGTATTTCAGTGATACTAAAATAACACTGACGTAAACGTGCATATCAGAAATGAGTAGAATATATATAACATATATTATATATATGGTTATAATAGTTGGTTTTGGTTTTGTTAGTTAAATATAAATTCATGTTTCTGTTTTATTTGATGTCCACAGCTTCCATGTTGCTAGAACAGCATTTACTCTATCAACAAGAAAGCAATCCTCCATATTTAGATTATGATCTATAATAGATGTGTTACATGTAAATGTGATATTTTGAATGCCTAAATCTTGTTTTCTGGCTCAGGTGAACATTGTTTGGATCCAGAGACTCATTTGTTCGACCTGTACAACAACAACCCCGGCGGTGAGTGGATCATCAAACTGAGATCGTCCAGCAGGGGGCAGTAGAGACACACCAGAGTGCCACAGGAGACCTTTGACCCCTGAGGAGAACCAGAGTTAAAGCACTGAGATTCTCTGACAGCTGCGCCGTTAATGATGTTATGAAGCTGGACTTCTGCATTGAGTTTGGACTCTGTTGATGTTGTGATGTGCTGGTTTGATGCTGAAGGGCCGCTTGAGATTGTTGGATTATTTATTAAGCACCAGAGCACCGCTGTGTTTGTAGATGTGATGAATGAATGTCCGAGGTGTTGTGCTGTACAGATCTGGTGCCTAGCAGTATTAAACACACAACTCAGTGTGAGTCTGGAGCGTCACCGGACACTAAACACGCTATCTCTCTCTCTCTCTCTTCTGTCGTTTGATCCAAATGATTACCTTCAGTACTACTTTTAAATGTTATTGTATTATATTGAAGCACTTCCAAGCCTTTTGACATCAGTTTGTCTCTCTGATAGACTTTGTATTTCTTTGACTCTAACTTAACGGTTAAGACACATTCAGATAGTATTGTGCATCACACACACACACACGCACACACACTCATTTGTCATTCCAGCAGCTCGTATAGTCATGTCAGAGTTGTGCGAGTGTTAGTGAGATCATGCTGTGTAATAGTGTATAACATCCATCACACACTGTCAGTCTCATCCTGCTACACAAACATACACACACACACTCATACACAGACACACATGCACAAACATACACTCATATTCACACAGACACAAACACACACTCATACACACAGACACACACACATGCACAAACACACTCATATTCACACACACGCACAGAACACACACTCATACACACAGACACATGCACAAACGCACACTCATATTCACACACATGCACAGAACACACACTCATACACACAGACACACACATGCACAAACACACACTCATATTCACACACATGCACAGAACACACACTTATACACGCACAGAATACACAGACACACATGCACAGAACACACATCCATACACACAGACACACACATGCACAAACACACACTCATATTCACACACATGCACAGAACACACACTTATCCACGCACCAAACACACAGACACACATGCACAGAACACACACTCATACACACAGACACACACATGCACAAACACACACTCATTCACACACACATGCACGAACACACTCATACACACACACACATGCACAAACACACACACATGCACAAACACACACTCATACACACACACACGCACAAACACACACTCGTACACACATGCACAGAACACATTACACACGCACAAACACACACTCATATTCACACACATGCACAAACACACACTCATTCACACACACGTGCACAAACACACTCATATTCACACACACAAGCACAAACACACACTCATACACACACTCATACACACATGCACAAACACACTCATATTCACACACACACACACACACATGCACAAACACACACTCATACACACACAAACAAACACACACTCATATTCTCACACACATGCACAGAACACACACTTATACACGCACAAAACACACTCATACACATTACACACACGCACAGAACACACACTTACACACAGACAGAGACACACACAGAGTTTATCATCAGCTTTGAGAACATCATGTTTTAGAGTCGTTCTGCTAATGTTCATCTGACAGTGTCATAATGAAGATGATGTGAAACTCTAATTAAAGCCACACGGCGTCTCTGCACACTTCAGAAATATTAGTCTGATGATGAATTTTTGTTCTGAACAAAACAATCTACAAACGAGAGTTTTTGCATTTCCTAAAGATACAGAACTGTAGACAGGGAGAAACTAAATTTTTCTTAGAACATTTCACTAATGTTCCCATTATGTTAGAAAACATTATGTTCTTTGAATGCTCGAAACAATTTTTTTTATGTTTTACAAACGTTTTTTCTTGGTTATGCGAATGTTATGGGAACATTCCATTGTATCGTTTTGCAAACATTATGGGAATGTTACTTTGTTCTCTGAACATTCTGAAACAGGTAGTTACATTTAAAAAACGTTAGTTGAACGTCCAACTAAAATGTTCCATGAACAATGTATATAATGTTTTTGTAAGAACATTGTTAAAGTCCACACAACTCTGAAAGAGAACCTCTCAGCTGAGACAGTAAAGAACCAGCACACTATCCTCAGCAACACATGATCTGATGGATCATTCATGCTTGATCACATGACTAGGAGCACTAGTGATGACTGACTTCACTAACTCCTCGTGCTGGATATATGTGTGAGGTTCCTCCTGATCCCATCTGGACTGTCAGAGCTGTGTGACACTGGCGTGTTCTTCAGTGTCTGTGTGTCACAGTTGGTTGGTCAGGGACAAAGACTGAAGAAGGATGTTCTGTCAGCAGAAATAATCAGATGTAGGTCAGCGCTGAAGCCTGCGGACAACACATGCGCAGCTTCCCATCAACACACACAAACTCACATATATGCATCCTCATGACACACAACACACTCTCTCTCTTTGAGAATTGTACTGTTTGTTTGTCAGTCATAAATAAATGCAAATGACATGAGCAGTGTTTTAGCATTCTCTGAATGGACGATGTCTTTTGCTGCACTGCTGAAATGATGTTCTTCCTCAGGATTTGTGTCTTGTTTTCCAGTACAGATGAATTTAAAATCAAGATACATTTACTGGAGATGCAAAGAGACTTTGTGCTAAAAACCTATCTGCCAGTGGGGTCAGAAAAATTAACCTTTCTCCTTTTGAATTAGGTTTATTTTTCTGACTCCATTTGCAGATATTTGTTCTTGTTTTAATCATAAACTCACTTCATTTTGATCATTTCTCGGATGTTTCGTGTCATATTGCATCTCCAGTAAATGCATCTAGATTTGAGAACGTTTCGATAATTATTCTGGAAAACAAGAGAGGAATACGAGGAGGAAGGTCACCGCTCCTGTAATGTGAAGGACATGGCATTAAACGCTTGTAAATGTGACGACGGCTTTTGTAAACAGGTTTGCATTGATGATGTAATAAATGACTCTGAATGATCTGAATTCAGTGTGAGTTCTGATGTGTTTTTATCCAGTGTGTCAATACTATCAGTGACACACAGACGTGATTCGCTCGTCTTGATAAATCACTGAATTAGCATTTACAGCTACTTTTACTGCATTTAGTGACGTGTTATTCTGTTACTGATGAGCCAGCTCTTCATGCGGGTTCAGAGAGAATGGACTGATATGATTGTAGATGTGACCCAGAAAACTAGTTTCTCTCTGAGCACCGATGCAACCAAAACAGCTCAGCTATATTCAGATGTATGCTCTATTCTAATATTTTGAATATTGCATATCATATTTAAATATGAAATGTAATGATTTTGCATTATTAACTGTGAAGCAATACTGCCTGGAATTGTTTGTTTTAGCTGCATGTTTCTGTATTTTTCTAATTTTATATTATTTATTTAAACATTTTTATTATTTTAAATATTTTTGTTTTTAATAGAATTAGATGCAAATACAATTTATGGATTTTCTTGTTCATTTTCACATTATAATGTTTTTGTTCAGGTTTAGATTTTTTTATTTTAATTCTAGAGTCAGAATGTGCTTTTATGCATAGTTTTATTATTTTTAAATATAAGAATGAGAATGTGTTTATGCATAATTGTATTATTATTTTAAATATTAGAATTAGAATGATTAAACTGTATGCATAATTTTTTTTTAATTATTACTTTTTTACATGAATAGAATTAGATGCAAATAGAATTTATGGATTTACTTGTTCATTTTCACGTTCTAATATTTTTCATGAGGATTGTTTCAGAATTTTGAATTCTAGAGTTAGGATGTGTTTAAACTTTTTATGCGTCATTTTATTATTTTTAAATATTAGAATCAGTATGTTTAAACTTTCATGCATACGTGTATTAATTTAAATGTCTTATTTTTGACAATAATAGAAATAGATGCAAATAGAATATATGGATTTATTCTTTCATTTTCACATTAAAATCATATTTTTGATTAATTTGTTTTTTTGAATTGAGAATTCTAATTATTAGAATGTTTAAACTTTTATGCATAATTTTATTATTATATTAAATATTAACTGGCTCTTCATGTATGTCAGATCACGTGTTCCTGTCGCTGTTTCCAGCTACATCACGTTCTTGATAACATATGATAAAGAGAAACCTGAGCAGATCACTTGACCATCTGCAGTGTGTGAACATGTCACTATGATTGTGATTTCCACCTGTGCTCACTGTGTGTGTGTGTGTGTGTGTGTGTGTGTGTGTGTGTGTGTGTGTGTGTGTGTGTGTGTGTGTGTGTGTGTGTGTGTGTGTGAGAGAGAGAGCGAGTGTATGTGTGTGTGTGTGTAATGGGCTGCAGAACGGATGGAGGAGGGACGAGTGACAGCAGGCAGTGAGATGTGAATGGATAAAGACGGATTGCTATTTCTGGCCTTTGATTCTGGTATCATTATGTGAATAAGTGTAATTGCAGGTGATTAGCAATCAGAGTCTTTGTGCAGCACGGCGCCTCCACCAATGACAGCGAGAGCTCACACTGACCCCGTTTGAGAGCCACTTTCCCACTTCTGTTATCATTTTTCTGCACGTGCTGCGTTGGAAATGACCTTCTCTTTGTGTGCTGCTAAATCACGCTGATCGCACACGACTCACACGAACAGACAGACGCGAGTCGTGTGCTCAAACTACTGCTGCAAATAGCTCAAATGCAAATGCAGTGTTTGGTTGGAGACACTGAACTGACTGACATGTCTGTGTGTGTGTGTGTGTGTGTGTGTGTGTGTGTGAGAGAGAGAGCGAGTGTATGTGTGTGTGTGTGTAATGGGCTGCAGAACGGATGGAGGAGGGACGAGTGACAGCAGGCAGTGAGATGTGAATGGATAAAGACGGATTGCTATTTCTGGCCTTTGATTCTGGTATCATTATGTGAATAAGTGTAATTGCAGGTGATTAGCAATCAGAGTCTTTGTGCAGCACGGCGCCTCCACCAATGACAGCGAGAGCTCACACTGACCCCGTTTGAGAGCCACTTTCCCACTTCTGTTATCATTTTTCTGCACGTGCTGCGTTGGAAATGACCTTCTCTTTGTGTGCTGCTAAATCACGCTGATCGCACACGACTCACACGAACAGACAGACGCGAGTCGTGTGCTCAAACTACTGCTGCAAATAGCTCATGCAGTGATGCAGTGTTTGGTTGGAGACACTGAACTGACTGACATGTGTGTGTGTGTGTGTGTGTGTGTGTGTGTGTGTGTGTGTGTGGTTGTAGGGTCACTGGAGACGGAGTGAGACAGAGAGAGAGAGAGAGACAGCTGTGAGACAGACAGACAGACACCATGACATCAGAAAGACGTCCTGCAGCTCCTCCTGAGCTTCCTCGCAGACGCACACAAGAGTCAACCGCTGACGCTTATCAGCACAATCCAGACCCCGCGTTGCTTAGCAACATGTCATGGATCATTTGTGTGTGTATGTGTGAGAGAGAGAGCGATAGAGAGAGAGAGTGTGTGTACCTGGTATTCCCTACATTAGGACCAAATGTCCCCACAAGGATAGTAATACCAGTATATTTTGACCTTGTAGGGACATTTTTGGTCCCCATGAGGAAACAAGCTTATAAATCACACAGAATGAGTTTTTTTGAGAAAGTAAAAATGCAGAAAGTCTCCTGTGAGGGGTAGGTTTAG